TCTGGTCAACTGTAATTTTATGAATCTGAATCTGGTACAGATTCGAATATGAATCTAACTTCAGCCACATCCCAAAAATCGAGTGTTCTCTAATTTTTTGAACAAATGTCTGCTGGAGCAGATTTTTCAAGAAAAATTCGAATAACTCGAGAACGGCCGAATCAAATTAGAAAAAGGAAAGTTATTTATAAACCTTGAAAACAGACAAATCCAAATATGTAAAAATATACAGGGTGTTGGTGGCGACTTCCGGTATAACCGTATTTTAGACGAAGAGATCGTAATTGATAATACTTAAGTCTGAATTCTCAAATTTTTATTTTCGCCAGAACCCCAGAAACGTCTAATGACCGGTCTCGCTGAAACACCCTGTATAAGTAATAATTTGGTGAGCCAAATCGTATTGGTTACAGAATTATGAATGTTTTAAGTTTATGGCTGGGATTTATAGATAACATCAGACCAGTGTCTTAATAATTTATTAATAATAATATTGTAGCTTATACTTCATTCGAAATTAATGGGGATGTGGATAAAAGGGTTTGCCATAAAAATTTATGCTGTCACTTTAAACTTAAAATCGATGAAGTCGAATCAAAAAAATTCCATTACAAATATCGCGCTTTAATTTTTTCGGGGGTAAGATCGTTCAATGGACCAATTAACGGAGGATTAGAAGTGTGTGCAATCAGTTTTTGTAAAGATGACACCCAGGAATCTTGCGGGCAAAGATTTATTCCGTACTCAAAAATCGATTGGGTCACAACGTTCAAATCGATCGAAATAACAGCTTCGACTATCAAAACCCAACATAAACAACACTTCCCAAACACTTTATTAAGCAGCTTGGAGCCGATTTCGCCCCAAAATTTCGAATTCACCCAAATCGATGTAAACGAAAAAAACGTTGATTTAAAAATGAAGTTATTAACTCCGGAATCGAGGTTATTAACGTTTGGAATTTATGGGAGGAATTTTGAATTGGATAATGAAACTCCTGATCAAGTTTATGATAAAATTGAATTATAAATAAGTAAGTTTAATTTTTTTTTAATATTTTTATTGCTTAAAATAGTAATTAATAAAAAAATTATTGTTGCATTGCGTTTTTGATAAAATCTAAATACTTCGCGACGTCGGTAAAGACGACGTAATGTTTTGGGTCACATTTAAATTCGTTTTGAAGGGCTACGCTTAACGAGACGACTCCGCGAAGTTGGTAAACTTTTCTTCCGGATCCAGCGGATCTTTGAAAAACCATTCCACCGCCTGAATCTCCATTACACACGGTTGATCCTGTTGAGGTAATCAAATTTAAATATGATTAATTAGTAATATTATTATTACCATTTGTAAACCCCGCACAAAATGTGTCGCTTGTTGTGTACCGAACATAAAAATCTGGGAACGAGTAGATGCAAGTGTCTTTTGAGACAATCGGCATATCCAATTTGATGAGTTCTTCTGTTAATTTCCCGTACTCGTTGAAACCCCAACCAACGACGGAGCCTAAAAAGAAAATGTTTATTAATGATAATAAAACTAAAAGGTATTAAAAAACGAATGACAATGATGTTTAGTGATTTTTCTTAAAAGTTTAAATTTAAATTAGTTCAAGTGACATTTAGAGATTTTGATTAGATTTCTAACCTATTCATTGACAGTAACGTTTAATATTTTTAATAAAAATGTTTATATTAAAATTAAGATTAAAAAGGTTTTAAAATTCCTTTGAAATAATTTTTTACCACGTTGTACTCGAATTTAAAATGAATAATTTAAAAAAAACTTTTAGTTGTCAAAAATTGATACTAACCCTAAAAATTATTATGATTGACAAGTTAACCTTAAATATAACTGTCAACTTTGAAAGGTTTTTAACATTTCATTTATTTTGAAAAATTTTTTTTATTAATAAGTAATTATTGTTTCTTTACTGGAAAAAAAGCCGTTTATTTTCACTCAGCCGAGGTCGTTTGCGAACTTTCCAAAAGTTATAAGTACGAAGGCTTTCACGGCCGGTGTTAATTACATGGCATTCGAAACGTCAAACTTTTTCAAAAGACGCACGGTTTAACTCGAAAGTTTCTAGCTTTAGTGTTAGTTCTAGTGATAGTGCTGTTGGTTCTAATTTTAGTTTAACTTCCAAAAGTTATCAATATCGTGTTAATGTATCAAATCAAGCGCCAAGCACGTGAACCTTTCTCCCTCCTACCACCATTCCTCCCATTTGCGCCATTTCTCCAGCCTGCCTTCCAAATCCGTCGTGTATAGGACAAAAAGAGTGGGGCTCAGTGGATCTCAGACAGTCGTTTCCCTGTATATCCCCTTCACCTTCTTCCTCTCCATCTCCTCCTACAACTTCTCCCTATCCACCTTATCGAATACCGCCTTCAAATCTATGATTAGGGCATATAACTTCCCTCCCTTCTTATCCAACTCTATCCACCAAATGTTTTAAGATGTAACCGTTATCGATCGTCCCTCTACCCTTTCTAAAATCTGACTCTCCATCGGGCAACATCCCCCTTCAATCTCTTTCTCCAATTTTCCCAGCAGTATCTTTGCATAAATCTGGTATGAGGAGTTGAGTAGGCTGATTCTCCTATAGTTCTCCACTGCTCTCTTACTTCCCTTTTTGTACACTGGGCATATTATACCCATCTTCCAACCATTCGGTAACCCTTCCTCATTCCACACAATCTTCAACGTATCTAACAGCTTCCCTCTCACCTCTCCTGTCGCCTCCTGAACCATGCTTCGTTCCGTACCCCACTCTTCCCCAGTGCCTTTTTCCTCCTGAATACTGTTGTCAACTCACCCTCCGTAATCTCTTCACCCGTCTCAGTCGTCTCCTCCTCCTCGACCGCCTGCCCAGCTTCTACCCCTCCCAACAAATTCATAAAGTGACTCCTCCATTCCGCCATCTGTATATCTCAACTTCTTCAAATACAGTAATACTCCGTAGTTATGCGATAGGTGGGACTGACAGTAGCCGCGTAAATCGAAAATCGTGTAAGTCGAAATTCGATGAATACATATTATAAAATCAAGGATTAATAAACATTAATTTTGCTAAAAAAATGTATGTACAGGGTGTCCAAATTTCGATGGGTTTGCAGGGTATCTCAGTTATTATGAAAGATAGAAAGTTGCGGCTTTCGCGAACCTGAGCTACTTTTTTGTGAAACTTACAATGGCGCAAACCAAATTTTCATAGCCCTCTTCGTTTTTGATATACAGGGAGTGTTTCAAAATTTACGATTTTCAGACACCTCCTATATCTCGGCTATCCCAAAACGTAAACACGGGTTCTAATAGATTTTTTCACGTAGAATCCAATGGTGCACGTAGAATTTTTCTAGTCATCACGGTTTGTGAGTTATAAAGAGTTAAGTGTTTTAGAAGTTGAGTATTCAGTATTTGGGTTGTGTTTATAACTCAAAAACCGTGATGACTAGAAAAATTCTACGTGCACCATTGGATTCCACGTGAAAAAATCTATTAGAACCCGTTTTTAGTTTTTTACTGAGTTTCCGGATAGCCGAGATACAGGAGGTGTCTGAAAATCGTAAATTTCAAACACAGGGAATATCAAAAACGAAGAGGGCTATGAAAATTTGGTTTGCGCCAGTGTAAGTTTCACAAAAAAGTAGCTCAGGTTCGCGAATGCCGCAACTTTCTCTCTTTCATAATAACTGAGATACCTTGCAAACCCATCGAAATTTGGACACCCTGTACAGGGTGGTTCAAATTCGATGTCCGAATGGGCTATCTCGGAAACTGTAAGAGTTCGAAAAAAAGCAGCTAACATGTCTAGATCTCTTTTTTTAAATAAATTCCAATGTCGAAAACCTAAAAGCGCTGTCGTTAAAAAAACCGTGTAAGTACGGGGACGCGTAAGACGGGGTCGCGTAAGTCAAGGTTTTACTGTACCTCCATACATCCCCATCCCGCCTTATCTCCTTAATTTTTGCTGCCTCCCTCAACCTCAACTCCCTCGTTGTCCCACATACTTCTTTTTACCTTCTTGTCTCCTTATAATTGTCCGCCAGAACCTTTCCTCTTCGTCACTGTCTCAATTTTCTCCTTGCCTCTCTTGCGCCTCACTGCATTCTCCATCCCATTATTCGTTCCTTCCCAAAATACGTCCCCGCCGCGAACACTCCCTCCTAGGTAACGCGTCACTCACCACCTCAATCAAATCTTCCAGTCCTATGACTCCTTCCACTCTTCGTCAAATTTCCCCTGTAGCGTTCTATCTCCTCTCCTGACCAATCTGTCTTAACATATTTCACTTTCTCCTTTCGTCGCCTTCTCTCTCATACCCCCTTTAATTGCGCCTCCAACGATTGGTTATCCGAATCTACCATATCTCCCACCCTATATCACCCTCTCCCACGTTCTTTGGTCCACTACCACATAATCTATCACGGACGCCCCCTTGCACCTGTGTAAGTATGTTACCGTTCATCTCTTTCCTCTCTATTCCCCATTCCTCCTCCTCCGTCCACCTCAGAGTCGCCCTTCCTTCTCCATTCAGTGTCTTATCCTTGGACCGTAACTCTCTTTCAACCCTCTCCCCATGTCTTCATAATTAATGCTTCTCTTCGCCAACTTTGCCGCTATCTGGTATTCCCCACAGTTTCTATCCTTCGTTTCGTGTCTGTCATCGTCCTCCCTGGCTTTGTAGTTGGCATATTCCGCCTCTCTTTCATTATTCCTACAGTTCTTAAACTCGTGGTCCCTTTCCGCAAAGTGCCCACATACAATTTCCGACTTGCAGAAACGTTGGAGATGCCGGAAACCCTGACACCTGTAACTCCTTTTCACGTCTATGAAGTCGTCAATTTTCAATGATGACAACCCAATGTATACTCTTTCAAACCTTGTAATATTCCTTTTCACCCTCCCTGACACTTCCATGACATAATTTACTTTCCCTTCTGCTAGTCTTGAATAATATTTTGACTTGCTTTCTGAAGTCATCCTAACCCCTTGCTCCATGTTTTTACCCCACAACTGTTCTAATATCACCCCTTCGTTTATCTCTCTCTGTCCATATCATAGTGTATCACCTTAGGCCATACCATGGCTGGTTCCCGTATCGCTATATCGTGCTTCCCGATCTTATCCCTTAGCAATTCATATACCATTGTTTTTCAACCTGGTTATTCTTTTCAACTTCACCTCTTTCCAGGTGTCTTCTTTTTCTAGCGTCTTCACCACATCATTCTTCAGTTCCACGTCTCCATGTCTCTAAGTTTCCTGTAGGTTGCCCATACGAGTTTGATTATCTCTCGATACACGAACATCATAGCCAACATATACATAGCTGTCAACTCTCTCAATCTCATTATCCCCAATGTTGATGTTATAGTTGGGAACATGATTTGTCATAAATTTTGATTTCTCCTCGTTGATATTTAGCCCGCCTCTTGCACACACCTCCTTTAAGTTGTTCAGCATTAGTTTAATCTCTCCAAGACTATCCGAAATAAGAACTATATCGCCCGCGTAGCGCAAATTACTAAAGCATTTGCCATCAATGTTTATGTCTTTTTTTGGGTCCAATCCAGTTGTTTAAATGGACTGTGATGAACAATTTTGGTTCAACAATGTATCGCCTTGTTTTACTCACAATTAGTGCTGTACTACTTCTACTCTCTTCAAAACTTTCACGCAATTTTACAGTCATTGTAGCATTCTTGTAGTTATTATAAATGAGTTTGGTATATCGATAATCGACTCTGCATTGTTGAAGTGTTTGCAAAACTGCCATCAACTCAATTTAAATTAAATTTTATAAATACCTCTAAACACCCATCTTGGGTAAATACCCCCATTAATTTTAAGAGACTTATTAAAAACTCAGGGTTTCGGGCAAGTTCAGGTTCAAAAGAATATTAATCAGGTTCGACAAAAAATTCATTTAATTAAACACAAAATCAAATTAACTCGTTATATGAGTAACAAAAAAAAATGGTTTTCCTAAATTTACTTTAATAACAATGCTTATTTACGAGAGATAAATTTTTAAATAAAATAGATAACTGCCGTTATCGACTGCGATATTAGAGAGAACCCGTTTATTACTTGAGAGAGAGAGAGTAGGATAAAACCAAGGTTTATATCAAGGTCTATAGAACATAAGGTTACCCAATACCGATTCTCCTCCTCTGAGAGGCAAGGTAGGTCAGTGACGTAGCTGGTTCTATGAACAACACAACACGATGCGAGGTTTAAATATTTTATATAGACTGTACCACAGTATAGGCACGTATAGGCTATCTTTTATTCTGACTGTATCGAACCAGTGACGTCAATTTGCGGGGTAATAATCGATACTACAGAGGCATAGGGAATGAGGTAACCTTATGTTCTATAAACCTTGGGTTTATATATAAGAGGTTGTCTAGGTTCGTACGCAATCATACTGCGCATTACGTCACATGTGGAAAATAATACCGCCAAGCAATTCAAATTAAACAAAGGCATGGAGCACCATATGACCATGAGGTTGCGTGCGCAATCCGTGATCGCTTACGTCACGAAACACTCCTGCTCTTGCCCCTCGCCCACAAACTAAAATCAAAGTATTGCAGCATAGGTACTTAGACAACCTTTAATATATAAACCTTGGGATAAATCTAGTTAGAACCGTTCTTTGAAAATAACAAATGGCCGATGTCTTAAGTTGTCATCAAACTCGTTAAAAGAAATAGAATTAAATAAATGAACGTTATTCAAGAAAACTAATAATTCTTTACACACAAGTAAGTATTGATCAAAATTATAGTAAACTCTTGTGAGTTGTTCTTTGAATTTGATTCTTTGATTTTTCTTTTTGTAGGTTATGTTAAATAATAAAATAAAATTATCATCCGACTCACTGTGAAAAAGAAAGGATTGGAGTTCAATGTGGTATCTGGATTATGGATTGTCTCTTGTGTTCGGGGCACTAACTAATTTTCTGGATTGTCTACAGGATTCTTCTTACGGGAAGTTGAACTGTTTGTTCTTCGGAAATAGGGTCTTGGATGATCTCGAAGAAGAATCAGTAGTTCTTGGAATAGGTTGTAGGATGATTCTCTTTTTATTTTAGTATCGTAAGTTGATTTGACTTTTCAAAAAAATTATCTTAAATTTTTGAGGTTATCAAAATTTCTTCTATCTGGCGACGTGGATTCGCCGCTGGTCCGACGACGACTCTCTCACTCCCTGTTCGCGATCTCCTTATATACCCCGGCACTCCAACTGTTTTTTCCTAGTTTCTGATTGGCTCTTAGCTTCGCGCCCTTTTCAAAATTCAAAATTCTTGCTTCGAAACTAGCGTCATCTCTTGATTTTTCTCGGAATTAACCTTCAAAATTTAATTCTTTTTCCGTTGATTTCTCCCTTATTCCTTTATGAAACGTAATAAAACTTCGTATTCAACGTTGTCTTTCCTTGTTTTTAGACATACATTGGAGTACACGCCAAATTTCAACAATGAGTAAAGTTGGAAAAATTCAAATTTAAATCAAGGATTTCTTCCTCAAAATAACGTTAAAACCTCAAACGATGGATGAAAATGTGCTTTAGGAGCTGAACTACAATAATTGATACATTTGGAAGTAAACAAAACGGTTTAAGATAAGATTTTCACCAACAAAAAATCTCTCTGTCACAAATTCTAGGTTATGTTCTCTCGGTGAACTAAGAGAATGTTAAAATTATTACAATACATACAATATAGGTATTAGCTTAAATAAAAAAATACATTGTATTTTATTATTTATTTTTTGAAAGTAAAAAATAATTTTTTCTAGTTTCCAACAAAAAAATCAAGGTTGAAATGAAAATTCCAATAATCCACAACAAAAAGGCGCTCTCTAAATCCTGCAAATTGATACTTTTAACATCATCATAATTTTCTCGATTTTTCAGATTATTAAAAAAACGCTTCATATCGTTAATCCACTTCTCTTCCAACCCGCTTTGATGAACGACATACATATCGAAACTAAATTGATCCGCAATCGGATGACACCGCTTAAACATCAAATAATACACAACAACATTAATCTTGATCGAATCGTACAAGCTCTCATCGTAAAGCAACATTATATTTTGGTGAGCATAAACGATATGGTTCTTCTCCTTCATAAATTCGTCTATAAACGAACGGATATCCCCCGATTTTTTGCGATAACCTTTCATTTTTAAACGTTGATTTCTTTTTAAGATAAGCCCGGCGAAATAATCGTTTAAAACGAACGGAAAATCCGAATCGAAAGCTTCGTTTAAAGTGGTGATTCGTTTCGAGTAAATCGGTTTTGTTAAGGTGCTAAATAAATAGGATTGAATTAAAGAGGAAATAATTAACGAGTATAAAAAGGAAGAAATAAAAATAATTTTAAGATGATTTTTGTTAAAATCGATTTTGATTGAAATGAAAAGTGTTAAAGAAATTGTATCGAGTAAGTTGAAGAAAAACAATAAAATTAGGTTTGTTATTAATAATAAAATCCATGTTTTGTGTTCAAATAATAATAACAACGATTTTAAATTTGAGATTTTTTTGGGTTTTGGGGTTAAAATTAAATGGTAATCGATGTTTAATAAATTTGTTATCTCCATGTCATCAAACCACGAGATATGGGAGTCGTCCATAACCGCTGCGCCCGTCCCTAAATAGATATCGCTCAAATTATTCTCGAATTCCCTCAAAATCGGCTCAACACTTCCGTTATTTGAGAAGACCTCGATGTAGATTCGTTTTGGTTCGTTCAAAATCACTTTGGATGAGTATTTATTAAATAGCGTTTTAGCGAAACTGAAATAAATCCCTGGATTAATTTCTTTGTTGTAATCGATTACGTTTGGGGGTAAAACGTTCCAAGCGATTCTTACTAAACACCCAAAAATCTTAAAATTTGGTTCGAAATCGTCGCATTTAACCGAAATCATGTTTGGATTAAAACAATCGAAGTTTTTGTAATTAATCGTAAATACTTTTTCCTCGAAAATAATAAAAATTTTAAAAATTCTGTGTTTAATAAATAACAAATTAATAATTCCCATTAATTTATCCTCGGTGACATTTTTTTGTTCGATACGAACCAAAAAAGTGCCTCGACAACAATTTTTATTTCCTTCATTTATTTTATTAATAATTAATAAAATCTCTTCGACATCTTCAACGTTGATAAAATAATTTTTAATTCCCTTATAATTAACAGAATTAAATTCGGAATTCTCGATGTAAACGGGAAATTCTAATCCAAATTCCAAGTTTTTAGAATTTATTATAATAAGATTTCCGAAAAGATGCTTAATAATTTTATTAATACAACTGGGTGAGTAGGAATTCGTTTCATTCAACTGCAAGGTACTTAAAATTGGGTGAAAACTTTGAATTAGTATTGCGATCGCAATGAAATACATGTTTAAAATGAGGATTCAACTATAAATTTGTTAATATAAGGAAATTAATGGAGGTAATAAAGGAAATAAATTTGATGGGTTTTTAATGATGAATTATATATCATCATCGCTATATTAATGTATTCTATAAATTTCTTCTTTACGTCGCTTGCTTTTAATATATAAACAAAAAATCACAATATTATACAGGGTCATCCACGATGACCGTCCATTAGAACTTTACAGGGTTCTGACCAATACAAAAATTTGAAAATTCAGATTTAAGTATTATTAATTGCGTTCTCTTCCACTAAAATATTTTCAGATTTCTAGATTTCCGGTTATACCGGAAGTCGCCACCTACTTTATTTTTTTAAATTGAACATCCTATATATTTTTACATATTTGGATTTGTCTGTTTTCAAGGTTTATGAATAACTTTACTTTTTGCAATTTGATTCGGCCGTTCTCGAGTCATTCGAATTTTTCTAGAAAAATCTGCTCCAGCAGACATTTGTTAAAAAAAATCAGAGAACACTCGATTTTTGGGATATCAATTTAGGATTCAAAACATGTGTAAGCAACATGATGGAGTATGTTTTGGTGCCAACTACGGCTGTCTAGATCGTTTGGTCACTTTACTACGGTACGTTAACTTTTCGAAATTTGGAAATACCATAACTTAATTTTTTTAAATGGCACCCCCCATATTTTATTACTTAGTCGTCTTCGGTGTCTCATTTTACATCTTTTATATCCCATATGTCCTATAACTAACATTTATAGTTTGGGAGATAATTAGGATTTTTTGAAAAATGCACACATATATCGATATTTAATCTAGTGGGCCATGAATACCTAGTATGAGCTAGTGTATAACCATATGAACTGCTCTTTTGAAAATTTGCAGACTTCTGTGTTTGATGCCAGCTTTTTACTAAAATATTTTCAGGTTCCGGGTTGCTTAGATTAATTAGAATTATTGTTACCTGCAACTTGGGTTGCCTATTTCATATTTTTGTTCAATTTTTTAATGTTAGTATGCTTTGAAAATTTAGTGTCCGTCGATACAAACAAATAAAAAAAAATGAGTTAGTAGCAAAAAATTCGTTTCGCTGGCATCACGCCGTATTCATTGTCTAAGATAAATAATTAATAAACATCGAATAAATCAAAAACTAAAAGAATTCGTATTAAACAGCGCGAACCAGTAAAATCAAAAACACGGGTGCTTGCGGTTACACCGGAAGAGGTGGCAATTTTCATATTTCAAATGGAACACCTGTATTTCCTTACATTTTTGAAATTTGTATTCAATTTTAGGCCCCTGTATGTTGCAGCCGACACGTACGCGCAATTATTTGGTTGCACTCTCCATAAATTATTATAAAATTCAAATAATTCTTATTACTAAATTCCAAACGTGGCATATCTTGAGAACAGATCACTACAAAAACTAACCTAGTCACCACACCAACAGAAATAAACCATAGCTTTCGCAAATGTCAAACTGTTTACTCTTTCCTTATTGGTCCTCTGATAATACATAACCACAACAACATTCCCAACACAACATTTTTTTTCCGGCGGTCAAAGTAGATGGTTTATAAATTATAAAAACCTGAAAATACTTTAGTTAAAAGCTGGCATCAAACATCACAAGTCTGCAAATTTTCAAATCTCCACTTCATTCCGTTATTCACTAGGTCGCACTAGGCATTCATGGCACGCTAGATTAAATATCGATATGATATGTGTGCATTTTTCAAAAAACCCAAATTATCTTCCAAACTATAAATGTTAGGTATAGGACATATGGGATATAAAAGATGTAAAATGAGACACTGAAGACGACTATGTAATAAAATATGGGGGGTGCCATTTAAAAAAATTAAGTTATGGTACTTCAAAGTTCTAAGAAGTTAACGTGCCATAGTAAAGTGACCAAACGTTCTAGACAGCCGTACTCGGCACCAAAACATACTCCATCATGTTGCTTAAGCATGTTCTCAATCCTAAATTGATATCCCAAAAATCGAGTGTTCTCTGATTTTTTGGACAAATGTGTGCTGAAGCAGATTTTTCTAGAAAAATTCGAATAACTCGAGAACGGCTGAATCAAATTACAAAAAGTAAAGTTATTCATAAACCATGGAAATAGACAAATCCAAATATGTAAAAATATACAGGTATTCCATTTAAAAAAATAAAGCAGGTGGCGACTTCCGGTATAACCGGAAGTGCTAGAAATCTGAAAATATTTTAGTCGAAGAGAACGCAATTGATAATACTTAAATCTGAATTTTCAAATTTTTATTTTGGCCAGAATCCTGTAAAGTTCTAATGGTCGTCGTGGATGACCCTGTATTTACCAAAATATACCTACAGGTGTCCCACCGAAAGAAACATACATATATTATTTTGAATGATATGATGGAATGATATACTTTTTATTGCGACTTCTGATTCTACACACTTCAATATGTTGACTTTGATAAGATATGTTGATACTTCCCGCTTTTAGTTTTTGAGTTATTTCAATTAGAACTTTTTTTTAACAATTTACACTGTGTTCTTTAAATATGAATTTCTTAGTGACTCATCGAGCTAAAAGTTAAAATTTGTGACAGTTGCTGCTTAGATATCTTTAAGTATAGTGCCATTGGCTACATCGGTCTATCTTATACAGGATGTTCAACAATATAACCACTGTTTTACCATATTCAATTGCAAAAATGTCGAAAATTTTAAATGGAACACCCCATGTTGATTGAGAATTTATGATCTTGTAAATTATCAAGTGTTTCAGCAGAAATATGTCTAAAGCTTTCTCTTATGCTATTCTTCATATCTTCTTTCGTCGTTGGTATACAGGTGTCTTAGCGAGACCGGTCATTAGACGTTAAGTATAATCAATTGCATTCTATTCGACTAAAATATTTTCAGATTTCTAGCACTTCCGATTATACCGGAAGTCGCCACCTACTTTATTTTTTTAAATGGAACATCCTATACATTTTTACATATTTGGATTTGTCTGTTTTCAAGGTTTATGAATAACTTTACTTTTTGCAATTTGATTCGGCCGTTCTCGAGTTATTCGATTTTTTCTAGAAAAATGTGCTCCAGCAGACATTTGTTAAAAAAATCAGAGAATACTTGATTTTTGGGATATCAATTTAGGATTCAGAACATGCGTAAGCAACATGATGGAGTATGTTCTGGTGCCGAGTACGGCTGTCTAGAACGTTTGGTCACTTTACTACGGCACGTTAACTTTTCGAAATTTGGAAATACCATAACTTCATTTTTTTAAATGGCACCCCACCATATTTTATTACTTAGTCGTCTTCGGTGTCTCATTTTACATCTTTTATATCCCATATGTCCTATACATGCTTTCATACACACGCATTATTATAATTACTGGTGACTTTAATGTACGCTTTGAGCTAGATAGTAGAGAGGCTCAGAGTTTGTGCAACCTATGCGAATCTTATGGTCTGCACAAATGTGTTAATGATTGTACCCGTGAAACTTCATGTCTAGACAACATATTTACCAACCTTGATCCAACTCTGTTTTTGGTCAATGTTATCGATCCGTCAATTTCAGATCACCTAGCCGTTTCCCTTCAAGGTGACTGGTTGGGCAGTTCTCCAGTAATAAAGAACCGTATCATTTGTAGACCCGTCACAGACGAGGGTCTCTTCCATTTTTATAACCTTCTCGAGTCAACTGATTTTAGCTTTGTCAGTGACGCTAATTTACATGTAATCGACAAATTTTCATTATTTATTGACGTGATTGTAGATTCTTTTCATCTCTGCTTCAGGGAGAAATCTAGAGTAGTTGACCATCTTAAGGATAATAGACCGAAAATATCCTGGTTCAACAACGAAATTAAGTCTGCTAGGAATGTACTTCACTTGCTGGTCGATATCAACAGACACCGGCCAACGGTAGTGTCGAGTGCTCAGGTCAGGTACTATAAAGACTTTTACCGGAAACTTATTACTGACTCTAAGAAGAGAGCCA